AGGGGATAGGGCCTAAGCTGGCAGTCAGACATTCCTCTGGCAGCCTGGGAGCCCTCAGGGGATGCCCACTTGCCAGCGGGGAGCAGGCCTAAGCTGCAGTCGGTTAGTTTTATTCATTTCAAATGGGCCAGATCCGGCCCACAGGCCGTAGTTTGCCCACGGCTGGATTACACCGAACATACTTGCTCCTTACTGCACACACATGATTTGTGCTTGGCTCATGTAGATTTTCCATTTAGTTTAATTATTAAAAATCTAGGGTTTGTTCATAATGAAATGTAAAGCAAGAATAACTTACAACTATTAAGTTTTCATTTCATAATCTTGAATGGAAATTTAAAATGTCTTGCATCTTGAGCTACATTTCAGCTGCATCATATCAGGAAGAACAATAACAACAAATGAATAAAGCAAAACAAGGGGCAGGAAAAGAGTCCACCCAAGGGAACTGCACTCATATGTCAAAGCCTTAGACAGAGGTTGTAAAATTAGCAAATACAGAGTGAGACACTAGAGTAAAAGCTATCATTATGAAGTGCTTATTGCATAATGATAGTAAAAGCTATCATTATGAAGTGCCCAGTGCACAAAATTCATGCACTCAGCGGGGAGGGATCCCTCAGCCCGGCCTATGCCCTTGCGCAGTCCGGGAGCCCTCGGGTGATGTCCGACATCCTTAGCGCTGCCACGGAGGCGGGAGAGGCTCCCGCCACCACCGCTGTACTCACCAGCTGTGAGCCTGCTTCTGGCTGAGCGGTGCTTGAGCCCTGTGGGAGCTCACTGACCACCAGGGGACAGCTCCTGTGTTGAGTGGGATCAGGCTGAAACTGGCGCTCTGACATCCCCTGAGGGGTCCCAGATTGCGAGAGGGTTCAGGCCAGGCCGAGGGACCCTACAGGTGTATGATCAGGGCCAAGGAGGCCCGTGGGAGGTTGGCGAGGTGGGGAGGGATCACTGAAGGGCTCCAGGGTATGTCTGGCCCATCTTGCTCAATCCCGATCAGCCAGACCCCATCAGCAAGCTAACCTAGCAGTTGGAGCATCCGCCCTCTGGTGGTCAGTGCACATCATATCGAGCAGTTGAATGGCCTTAGCATATCATTAGCATATTATGCTTTGATTGTTTGAACAGATGACTGGACAACCAGACACTTAGCATATTAGGCTTTTATTATATAGGATTTTATCTCATCAATTCTCACAACCATACCTTGAGGTAGGTCCTATTATTTCCATTTTATAGGTGAGAGAACTGAGCCTGAACTAATTGTCTCACCTGGTTTACTCAGATGAAAATAGCCACCTAGAATTAAATCCTGGGCCTCCTTACTTTCAAAACTTTCTCTAATGGTCACATACAGAGCAATGACAAGATGGGAGCCTGTGTGTTATTGCATGATTTGTGCTGAAGAATGGTTAAGAAAAGTTGAATAAGAAAACTTTTGGAAAGTAGACTAACTACTTTTTAAAATGTGTTTCTGTTTAATTTGCCTTAAATTAATTGTAGCAATGTTTATATTATTTGGATGCTGAGTCAATGCAATGTACCTGCATTGAGTATTTCGTTTTCTTGCAGATGCTTGGCATTATATCCATGTAGCCAGGAACTTGCATTCCCAGTTTTTGTCACCATTTAAAAACACACAAAAAGCCATATGTAATATGAGAAATTTTCTCATGTGTTCAAAAGATAATGTTGATTGATAAGTAAGTCCTCAATAATCTTATTCAGTGATCAGTCAGAATGACTAGTACACCTACCTTCTTTCTATGTAGTATAAGTTTAAGCTATTAATCAATAATATAAAAGACTGAGTATAGTGCTACTGCCAAGCATTTGGAATTTGCTATGATTTCTGTCTATACATTTCCTAAACACAAAATATAATGAAGTGATTGGTAGTGATTGAAAGTAATTGGAGTCAGGTATCTCCAGAGAAAGAGTATGAAGGAATTGCCTCATGGGCGGGAAGGGCTTGCAGAACTGAAATTTGTAGGGCAGGGTGGTATGCTGGAAACTCAGTATTGAGACAGATTTTATTTTTCCCCAGGTAATCTCAGTTTTTGCTCTCAAGGCTTTCAACTAATTGGATGAGATCCCCACAATTTCACTGGAGTCATCTCCTTTACTTCAAGTCACCTGATTGTAGATATTAACCACATGGACAAAATACCTTCATAGCAACACCTAGAGTAGCATTTGATTAAATCCCTGGGAACTGTAGCCTAGCCAAGTTGACACATAAAACTAAGCATCACACTGATTCAGAACAATATTTCTCAAAGTACAGATTAAGACATTCCTAGGAGTATGTAAGAAAGCTATTTAGATGTCTGAGAGTCACCAAGTTAAAGAACTGATGGGTATTCATGAAAGCATTTTTTAAATCTCTTTTCAGATAGACTGATGTCCTCTTGTATTGTTTTAATCCCACAAGCATTTGACTTCTGTTCTCTTTTTAGACCAAGTCTGATCTCCTCATGAACAGCCATCTAGCTTACTCTTTTCTGCTCTCTACAAAGATACAATAAGATTTTCCTGAGATTCTGTAAAGGAAAACTAAGAATATGTCATGACATCCTTTCTCTATGGTATAAAATGCCATTGTCAAATTTTCACTGTACTAGAACGTGTTAATATTGTTTTCTTATAGTTGGATTATTTGTTCAAGTCAATGTTCTTTTTTAAAAAAGAGCAATTTTTTAACATCCTATGTAATAAAAGGCTAATATGCAAATCGACCAAATGGCAGAATGACTGGTTGCTTTGAAGCACACTGATCATCAGGGGGCAGATGCTCAATGCAGGAGCTGCCACCTGGTGGTCAGTGTGCTCCCACAGGGGGAGCGCCGCTCAGCCAGAAGCTGGGCTCACAGCTGGCAAGCACAGTGGTAGTGGTGGAGCCTCTTCTGCCTCTGCAGCAGCGCTAAGGGGAGTGGGCCTAAGCTGTCAGTTGTACATCCCCCAAGGGCTCCCAGACTATGAGGGAACGCCCCCCTCCCCCCCCACCGAGTGCATGAATTTTGTGCATCAGGCCTCTAGTTAAAATATAATCTTCAGTGAAAATCCCATTATATGTACAGTATAATATTTCATTTCATCTATGGGGAGAGATAGCAGCCTATGTATCCCATTTCTTGAGTCTGAATTTTTCTATATTGATTTTCTGGTGAACTTCTTGAAGTATTAATTGGCCAAACACTAATACTACTGACACAATTGCTATATGCAACAGTCTATCTGGAAATCATAAAGAATTGCCAGAAAATATTCCTTTAATTTCCTTTCAAAGTGTCTCTGTATATTTTTAACCTATAATGTGTTGGGGAGCACACAAGACTTGGTTGGAAAGTTTTTAAGGAGGACATTCTAAGAAAAGGGAAGTGTGCAGAGGCCGCCTGCTCTGTTTGAGAATTCTGACTTAGGGGAGTGCCGAAGGCGGTGCTCCTAATTATTCCTTAACTTTTCCAAACAAGTCTGTGCATGAGCAGACCCAGGTGTTTACTGGAATCCTTATGCTTATTCTTTTGGGTGTCCTTACTTAAAAGACACCACAAACACACGTCTCCTCCCAAGATTACTTACCCTGTTGATTGTATCTAAAGGATAAAATTTATCTCAAACTACTGCTACAATAAAAGCCTAACGAGGAAGGCAATCAAGGCTGCCTGGTTCCTTTAGCCAGGCTGTCCCTTAGCCCTCTCTTTCACTGCAATGTTGTGTTAGAGTAATCCATTCATCTGTCACTCAGGGTCTACTGGTCAGCCCCAGCAATAATTCATACTTATGGAAAGAGCACTGACTCTATTGATAAGGTAGAGATCACTAACTGTTATTACTGCTTCATTCTGTGACTCCAGATAATCGATACTGACTTAGTAAACAGCATTTAGAGCATCAAAGGAAAAAGGCATTTGCCAATTGGAAAATTGTCACTCTTAAAAGCAGGAATAAAATGGTCTTATTGTCACATTGAATTGATGGATAAGAATAACACATCTTTAAGGTTATTCACTCTAATATTATGTTAACTAGTTCCCTTATTGACATTAGTTTTGATGTTTTCCAAATATGTGCCCTTGAACCCATTCTTTTTATCCAATGTTTAAAATATTTATTTATTGACTTTTAGAGAGAGGGGAAAAGGAGAGAGATAGAGAATTTGTTGTTTCACTTATTTATGCATCCATTGGTTGATTCTTGTATGTGCCCTGACCAGAGATTGAACCCACAACTTGGCATATAAGGACGATGCTCTAATTAACTGAACTATGTGGCCAGGGCTTATCCATTTTTTAAATCTAACAATCATTCAAAATATTTAGTCTTTCATTCCAATTAACTTCCTCCATTGTCTAACATTTTACTGTTTTTATTGCAGTTAAATTTCAGCATTTCATGTTCCTGATGGTTGCCCATCCTGGGTTGTTCACAATATCCTGCACGTGCTCTGAGGACCCTGTGAGGTAAGGCAGTTAGTAATCATCTCTGGCATAGCCTTTTCAATCATTGGAATATTGTGGTGGAATCATTTTGAAATGAGTGTTTGCAATTTATTTATTACATCTTATAGATCTAAATAATGTCATCACACTGTTATTGAGGGGATAAGGAGGGAAGTAAATCATCTAACATCAATATAATTTTTCAGAGGGCATTTCTCTGAGAAGGAACAAAGGAAAAAGTCTTTGTAGCATACCTATCTTGTGCCAGGAATCACTAATTAATATCCATTGCTTTCTTACTCTGCATATCAACACTCATAGTTGGTGTTACAGGCCCATAATACCTTGCATGAAATTTCTTGGGCTAACTATGTCTCAGAATTCATAAATCTTCAAGTTTCAGGTCTGGGGTATCTCCTTGCCATCAACATTAATACTTCCTCAGTGAAATGTATGCATAACTACACAGGGTGAAATAAGTAAAGGTTATAAATAAACTCATGTCAGTTCTGATCAGGTTTGCAGACAATGGGTTCATGTGAAGCCAGGTTTTGCTGCCAAATGAAAAAAAAATAGTAGTGGTTTTTGGGTTTCAGAATAGTGAGTAAGGGACAGTGACCCTGTATTAAGCCAATATTAGGAAGAGTTAACATAGGGCACCTCGAGGGGTTAATACAAGTCAGGGACACAGAATTTAAACCCAGGCCTGTCTTAATCCAGAGGCCTTTTTTGTTGTTGCTGTCACTGAATTCAATGAAAGGTTTGTGCGTATATCTTCTTTAAGAATAATGAGAAACTTGGGTTCACTACGGAACACTGAAACTATAGGCTTTCAAAGATGATCCATCATTGAATCAGTAAATACCTTGGAACTGTTTTCCATGGTGACCACCCATCACAAAAAACACGGGGAAGGTCATTTTTCCACATTTTGGAATTTAAATTATGTTCAGTAAAAAGGAAGCTCAGATGCTTGCCTTAACTTATCTAATCTCAAATGAACCCAAGCTGCTTCCAGGAGGTTGCTTTGGCCCTGAAAGATTGTTGTCAGCTTTGATTTGAGGACCCAAGTCCAATTATGTTCACGGCAATCCATATGGGCTGTTAATTAATTATAGTTTATGTTCACCACCAGTCCCATCCCACCAAGGCCTCGCCTTCTCAAGCCTACCGGAAGGAGTAGACTATTAACTGGTATTAACTGGGCACCCTTGGCATGACAGTGCAGTGTAGCCTGAAAACCTGGCAAAAGTGCTGCAAATACTCCGGAGGCTCCTCAGCCAGAACAGGGCTTTTAGAAAAACACGATGCTACCCTCAGTACCAGATGCTGAGTGCTGGAACTTTTGGACCACGCCGTGCTTTTGTGAGAGGCCAAATGCAGTCCCCATGTACTGCCATCAGCCAAAACTTTCCACACTTACCACACTACCCTGAGGTGAACTTCTCCTGGTTATTCCACAAAGAAAAACAGAGTAATTCTAGTGGAATGCTTTCAACTGGAAATAAGTGACATGTCATGACTGTCTTCCATGGAAACTTAGGAACAATTCATGCCTTAAGTTCTAAAAAATGGGTTCTTAAAGAGCACTATAATGTTTACTCCTTGGCTCCCACCCTCAGATAATGAGAAGTCTATTGTAAGATAATCCTTCATAACAAAAACTTACATATTTTCAAAGTAGATTAAGATATAGATTTGTTGTTGTCCTTATTTAAGTTGTGCTTTTATACACACACAAAATTAGAAAGATAATAGATGACATGTAAAAAGGAGTTAGATCCTTATGAATACCATCCAGTGGTTTTTTATATGTTTACACATGTCCTTTTAAAAAATTAGAAATTCATAATATGGCTTTTCCCTCTATTTTTGTTCTGATTAGTTATTTATTGAAACAATAATATTGAAACCTCAAATGTCAAAGACACAAGGACTAGATTGTACAGCAGATAAGTACCACAAACTAGCAATAGTTTTGGAATAACAAGCAGGATAGTAGGGTTCTCCAAGGGAAACAGAACCAATAGCACACGGAGGCAGAGCTATCCATTAGATATTATAGGAATCAGTTAACATGGTCATGGTAACTGAGAAGTCCGCTGTCTGTAACTGGAGAACCAGGGAAGCCAGTATTCTATAGTTCAGTCTGAGGCTGAAGGCCTGAGAACCTCCTATGTCCACAGGAATTAGAAAATGAACTTCTGAGAGCACATTTGCTCTTCCTCTGTCTTTTGTTCTACTGCGGTCCTCAGTAGATTGGACGGTGTCCACCATTGGTGAGGACAGGTCTTCACTCAGTCTACTGATTCAGTTGCTAATCTCTTCTGGAAACACTCTCACAGACACACCCAGAGGTAATGTTTTACCAGCTGTCTGGGCATCCCTTATCCCGGTCAGGCTGACATGTAAAATTAATTATCACAAGTTGTAAGAAAAAAAATTGGTTGGAAACTTCTCTATACAAAAGGCTGTTGATTACAGTAGATCTGATAGAGGAGTTCTGGCTTACCATAGGGGCATGTATGTCTTGGCAAGTTAACAGCGAGCCAGTCTAGTCCTTGGGCTTGTAGGGTGAGAATTTGATCACTGTTACTTTGGCTCAACAGGAGGAGGTGTTTAAGCACCAGAAAAACCTGTCATTGTAAACTATTCAAACAGTCTCACTCAAAAGAAACCGAAGATATAGAGGTCAGAATGTCAATTTATTAATTTTCCAAGGGGAATTTATAATGAGAGAATAATAGCTCTACTTGACCAATTATATTACACAATATCTTTTCCTTAATCAATGATTCTCTACAGCCCTGAATAAATTTATTCAGTTTCTCTGTCACCATCAACTTACTTAAGGTTGGGTGAGACATTTTAATGCTTTATTAATGGTTGAAACCCTTGAAATGAATCAAAGCTCTTTGTACCTAGGATTCACCAAACTCAAATTACTCTTTCAAGCTTCATTGACTCCATTGCCTGGGATGCATGCCTATTGAGTGAGATGTCTGACACAATTGTCTAAGTTAAATGTAAATGATTTCTACCTTGGGCCTTTTCCTGCAGTTTAATTCAAATAAATTAGATATATGTTTGCTGAAACTCCACTGTGCGTAGCAAATGACTCTAATCTGATGTCATTCTCCAATGCGATAGAGTGCAAAGAGCGATGGGCTCTGAATCGGAAGCACGGTGTGTGTGTCAGGCATGGAACAAACCACTCATCTTTGAAATATATTTCTCCAGTTATGCGTTGCAGGGTTATATATGGTCTATCTTACAGATTTGTTTTTTGGATCAAGTCACATGTGACAACTGCATACAGATGCTTTTAAAAACACAATTACTATGTCAATGAAAGATACTGTAATAAAAGGCACAGGAAGAGGTTGATCTTAGCCATGATCTAGAAGACTTTGGGCTATGCCCCTGAGTCAATTTTTTCTGAATGCGCTGAGCCCTTCCTGGAAACGGTCATAGGGGATAAAGAATTGATCATCAAACAATATGCAGCCAGCTGTGCTCCTCAATGGGAGGTCACCTCACTAAGATGGGAGACCGAGGAATTAGACGTTCCCTCCTAATAATAAAATAAAGAGAATGAATATCTAGGAGATGATTTTCATTTCCTTGATGATAAATTCTGAGCTCTGTGTTAGTTTGCTAGAGCTGCCATGACAAAATACCACAGACCAAGTGGCTCAAGCAGACGTGTATTTTCTCGCAATTCTGGAGGCTGCAAGTAAAAGGTCAAGGTGTCTGTGGGTTCAGTGTAGCCTGAGGTCTCTCTCTTTGGCTTGAGGATGGCCATCTTGATCTCACTGTGTTCTCATGTGACCATCTCTTTGTGCGGGCGCATCCTAGCGTCTCTTCCTCATCACATAAGGATACCAGGCATGTTGATTAGACCAATATGGTACTGCGACCTCCTTTAAACTTAATTACCTCTTTCAAAGCCCTGCCTCCAGATGCCATCACATTAGGAGTTAGAGATTCAACATGTGAAATTGATGGGGGCGCAATTCAGTTCATAGCAAGGACCTGTTCATAGCAGTAGTGATGGGAATAAAAGGATGTACAAATTGTGAGACATTTTTTGAGGTAGAAGTAAAAGCATTATTTGATCAACTAAAGGTAGGAAGCACATTCTCCCTTCCTCTCTGAAATAAGTAAATATATATATTTTAAAGTGGAAAAAGTCTTAAATCAGTGAAAATTGGTGTCAGACCGCATGGTATTTTTATAAGAGGAAAACATAATAATATTATTTAAATGAAGTTTGATATGGGCTTTTAAATCTCCCCATAGAAAAATAAAGCCCATATATATTTTCTAGAGGAAGATGATCTCATTAATGTGGGGCACTGCCAATACTGCTCTGTGGTAGCACCAGAAAAACAAACCTTCAGTGATGGCACATGACAGAGAGGACGGAGGACAGAAGCGGACTGAGAATGCATTAGTGAATGTACCTGAAACATGCACGCTCGCATGAACCAATGGCCAGTAGGTAGTTCATGTCTGTTAGAGGACTTGTAGATGATAGAGAAGAGAGATTCAGGAGATTCCAAATTTGATGAGAAACCATGGAAAAATAAACAAACCTTTTCCCTTGTTTACTATTGTACAGCCTACTCTAAGTGAAATAATCTATATTTTGGATAAAAGTATTCTCCAAGGGGGAAACACCTCAATACTCAGTATGCCATAACCTGGCAAAACTTTGCAATAATGAGGACTGTCAAAAGGTAGTGCTTTTCAAATGAAAGGATCTGAAGCAGCCACAGAAGCTATTCGAAACTGTCTACAGGAAGAGCCATAGGTTAAAGACTATAAACTATTAGACACCTTAAAACAGAAGAGAGAGAGAGGAAGAGACAGCCGGCTGATCCCAGGGACAGATAACAAGACCAGATGGGATTCCCAGCTGGAGAGCAAACTTGGGGCAGGCGGTGAGGGCAAGGCGGCCATAAAACTCACTGCCAGGGACGGAGAAGGGACGATGGCTGCAGACATGCAG